ATGAACAGTAGCAATGGGCTAATCCAATCAATGCAATGACAGAAATGGTAGCATTCTCAGGGATAATGAAGAAAAGATAGAAATGTTCACTAAATATTTCTAGTCTATATTTGGGGAAAAAATCCAGGGGCTGGATTCCTATCATATAAGACAATGGAATACTTTCCATTTCTATCTTTCACAAACAGGATGTTTTAGAGCAGCTGCTGAAGTCAGAGATTTTTAAATCGTCAGATCCATGTAATTTAAGTCCAGCAGTTTTAACAGAGCTGGCCAAGAAGCATTCTAGATCATCACTAAGACTTGGAGCACTGGGGAAGTTCTGGAGGGCTAGATGGGAATGTCTGTCCTGCCTCCAGGAATGTCTGTTCCTGTGGGTGTGAGCAAGATGCATACCCTGCCCATTAGCTGTGCACACACCAATGCCAGACCTAAGTGCTCCCTTGTGCTGCACTCAAGCTTATTGCATAGTCTTACTCACAGGGCTAAAAGATTGAGCACCACTGACCTTAATAGCTCTACTGAAAAGAGAATTGCATTATTACTGTACTTCTTCACAGGCCTTCTTCAGCTCTGTGGTAGAGCTGCTGTAGTGGAACCATGCTATCGGTTCCTCTGATTGACTGGTGCTGCTCTGTCTCTTCTCTGTGAACTGGAAGGGTGCCCAAGAACCTGGCTCATACCTCCTACCTGAAACTACCCACTCAGTGTTTGTGACCGGGGCAGATCCAGAGCGAGTGCACTGGTGCCGTTGCTCTCCCCTTTGATTCCTGCTCCACCTGAAATCTACCCGATACTTTCTAAACTCTTCATTTCACCGATGTTAATGACTCTGTCTCCTTTTTAATAGTCTTGATGATCCACTAATCAAGCTAGCATTTTATTCTATAATTCTATAGTCTGTTAGCTGCTCCTGGTAATGTAGTTCCTATTTCACAGCCTTGCAGACTCTTTTTAACTCATTGCAATAGCATTGTATTTGTTTTTGCATCAGTCTTAGACTGAATAATGCAGCCCTTGGCCCCAGGCATATTAGTAAAGCTTCTAGTTCCTTTTTACCTGGAGAAAAATGTGTTGTGTTATATGTGATGATATAGCTGTGGTGGGCACCTCACCATGTGCCCACCACCCTTTTCAAAATCCTAGATCTGGCCAGGGGAATAACCTCAATGTCACACTGAATGGATTTAGCAAATGCTTAGGGGAAAAAAGCAGACCATTCCAAGTTTACTAACAAATCTATTTGGGGAAAAAGGATTGGGGTGGAGGGAACAACATAGAATGAGCTTCTAATCCATAAAGTATGGAAACTTGGTTCTAACGTGGTGGGTTCAAATCATATTACAGCCACAAACAGAGTGGTGAAGGGAAATCTCTGAAAGGGATGATTGTTCTGCCTCTGAAAGAGGCAACCCTTCTACAGATAAGTCATCAATGCCAGAAATGACTTATCTGTGGGGCCCAAAAGGATTCAGAAGAGCTACAGTTTTAACTTCAGAATGCATGACACTACATGAAATTGCAGACATATGTTTTTGACTACTACACCTCTGCCCCTATTTCATATCCGTATCAAAATCCTTCTCAGTGACTATGGAGCCTAGAACACATTGTCCAGAATGGATCATAGGTGCTTTTGAAAGCTTTACCCAGATGAATATGCACATTGAATCACAGCAATGAGCTATCCCAGTGTCTCTCAAGTTTTTGAACTTGAGGCACTCTTTAGTGGACTCAGGGCCCCCCCTCCGCAACTTTTGTGAATTGAGTGGCACACCATTTCAAAAACGCTTTTATATATTACAGTGCTTACTTCCTTGCAGAGGGGGCAGGTGGAGGGGGTAGGGGGCCAGCCAGGCAGAGGAAAGCCTGAGTCTGTGCTTATCTGCTTAACTCACAACCTTAAGGCACCTTTCAAAGGATCGCACATCACCCTAGTTGAGAATTGCTGATCTGTCCTGTAACCAGTAGTATGTGCCAGTTGCCTCAAAGGAAGTTGTAAGAAATTGCAGGTGTTGGTTATGGAGTAGCTTGTCCTGGGGAAAGCTTCTTCCCCAACCTTAATAGTTAGAAATTATCTGAGAGTTTATAATTCCTTCCAGGCTGCACAAGCTGAATTTTATGCCACATGATCATAGTTTTCAGATACAAGCTATAAACCTTGTCAGCAAAGTACCCTTACTGTCAGTTGATTTGCCCAGTGTCATTCCCTTCTTTGCTATGATTGTTACAGACTACTTTCATAGAAATGAAAATGCATGGATAAATGTCCTTACCTCTCTTTTCTGCAAATATCTGCCACCTCTGGATAAAAAATATATCACAGGTTAAGAAGCAGGGGTGTATTTGTGGGAAATGCATGACCTATTAATAGGCTGTACACATCATGGACACAAGGATTTTAAAATGTGCTCTCCCTTTCTGTTTAGTCTTTGCTCAGGCTAAAATATCTGGGTTTTGCCCCCTTCTAAAATTTCCCATCAAAGGCAAGCTTTGCTTTACTACAGTTGCTGAAACAGTGCTGCAAGTGCATTTAGAAGTTAGAAGTCTTGGGGCTCTGCCTACAAAAATGTTTGTGTTTTTTCAGGTAGAGTCAATAGTAACTCCTTCCAGAGAGCAAGTGCCTGCAGAAGCAGGTAATTATTTTCCAAGGCAATATAGTATAGCAGGAAGAGGCACAACAAGACACTACCATGTCTTGATTCTCCTGAGCCTCCACTGTGCGTAATCACTCATATTAATGAGTGCCAAGTGATCCCTTCTGATTTAGTAGCCTTTACACTCCCCTGGCATGGCAGCAAATGACTGCCCAAGGTGTAAGGAGCATCGGGCTCACAGTGTCCATCACTGACCCTGGTCCTTCACAGTTGCTTTACAAAGTGCAGCCAGATGAGAGGATACTTTTTTACACATTGTTCCCCCTTGTCTTTCTCTTCTAAATTAACCTCCCTATGGTGGAACCCATCTGCCTATTCAGTATGAATCTCAGTCACTATATTTACACCCAGAATGCCTCGTTCCCATTGTTTCATAGAAAGTAAGGAAGTCTGCTAATGCTTGTCCCTCCGTGAGTCCCAGTGAGTCAGTGGAGAACTTTAGTCAGCAGAGGACTTCAACTTTTCCCAAATAATTAGAGCACAAACTAAAAACCTGTCTTCACTCTATACAGGAAAAAGATTGTGTGTAATAAAAAGACTCTTTACCTTCACAGAAGACATCTGTTTCTCCAGGTATGGTTAGATCTTCTTGTAGGTCCTGCTGCATTGTGGCCACAACTCAGCTAAAGGTAGCCGTTACAGAGCTGAATGCTTGAGGTAGTTTCTATGCTATAAGAGGACTATTTCCTTTCACCAGTTTCCTTAAACATTTTAGCAGTGACAGCTTCCGCATCTGCACTTACGAAAACAGCCTCATTCATATGAATAAGCCTTCTTGTTTTTATTCATGTGCTTTGAGATTGGGTTTGAGGTAGGGTGTTTCTTAATGCTGAGAGAGGAAGAAGCTAGAGGGGAGACATAGACAGGACTGGCTCAGAATGCAGGATGCATTTTCAGCCTGGCTGGAGTGAATACTGTTCCAAAACAACAATGTCAAGCAGAGATGTTATTTCAAAGAAGAGTGTGGGGTTGTTTTGCATATGAATGTGAGTCTTTGCTGGTGGTAGGGTAGAGTCAGGGAGCAATTCCCATTCATCTTTCTATAGAAAAGTTCAGCTTCCTGACAAGGACAATTCAACTCAAGTACTTCTTCAGTGTCCTGGTTTCAGTGAGAAGCTTCTTAGTTTAGCATGTTAACAGCAACAGTATTTTTTTTTCTTTCTTTTGAAAAGGAAAATTTGTGGATTTACATATAGGTAACACTAAGCTCAGTTGTGATCTCAGTAACAAGAACCTAGTAACAAGAAGGCATTGGTGGCTGCTCAGGGTATATGGCTTTTTCTGTTTTTGCTCCCCTAAGTCATCACTTTGGGTACATCACCAACCTAAAGCATTACATTTTGTGTAGCTCTAAACTGCTGATCAAAATCAGAATGCCTATCAAGCCTAAAGTCAAAAAAGAAAAAGACATCTCATTTACATTTGAACATCAGGAATATTATTTTAATACCAAATCAGCCCTGCTGACTTTTCCAATTGCTTACTTCTGCAACATATTGCTTTTTTCAGTGGCCAATGTTTTGGAATGATTAAATCAAGGCGGTTCACTCTTGTTAAATGTTTTGTTGTCTGTAGGATTCTCATGCCTAGGAACTATCTGCTTGCTAGACTTTTGAGTCTACCATTCAAAGGCTTACATTTCTGCTCAAGTTTCTACTGACGTCATCTATTCATTAGAATAAAAGCGTGTGTGTGTGGGGTGGGGGTACTGGAACCTGAGAAAATTACTCTCCCATTTTTATTTGTTTTTTTTGTTGGGGTTTTGTTTTGTATTTTGGTTTTTGGGGGGTGGGGCTTGGGTTGGGGTTTTTTTTGCTATTAGTGCACGTTGTTCCTGCAAGGAGAATGAATCCCATTTGACATCTGCCTATTGATTGATGTCAAACTGGACTGAGATTTCCTCAGGGAAGGGACTGCTTCTAATGTGTTGGTACAGTGCCTAGCACAATGGGGCCTAATCTCCTATCCCAGCTGGGGCCGCTACATACTACTGTGATATAAATAATTGGAAAGAGAATAAGAAGTGACAAAAGGAGAAGAGGCAGTTTTCTGGGAAGACAACAAGAAGGACAGAGGAAGATGGGATTAGGAACAATAGGAGTCATGAATTATGAAAAGGGAAAGTGATAGGTGAACAGAAAAAGGAGGTGGAGAGGGGAGGGATGAAGTGGGAAAGAATCAGTCCAGAGGGAAGGGAAGCCTGAAGAAATCAACCTCTTCAAGTGCCATCCAAAGAACAGATAAAAGTTGAGGAAGAAGTAGGAGCTATTGGAGTCTCCTGTTGGAGACTCAAGTAACATTGGGCAAGTATGAATAGGAGTGTCACTTGCAAGTCAGGCAAACCGTGGCAGAACTAGAGTGCGGTGTTTGGGGCAGTTGTCCTGGGCACCAGCTTGGGGAGTAGGCGACAGAAAAAAATGGCTGTTGCTGAAGCTATACAGTCACACTGGCAGCAGTCATGACAACAAAAGGTTGCTGCTACCCCTGTGTGTGGCAGCTGCCCAGGGCATCAACCATGTCATTATGCCTCTGAAGGGAAGTGACTCTTCCATGCTAGTTGGCACCAGTGAGGCCTCATTTAGAGTACTGCATTCAGTTTTGGGCACTGTACTTCAAGAAAGAGGTGGACAAATTAAAGTCAAATGGAAAGTAATGAGAAGGATTAAAGGTCTGGGAAAGACAACATCAGCAAAGACAGAAAGAACTGGGATCATTTAGTTTGGGGAGTAGAAGACTGACGCTAGGTACAGATATTCAAAAAGCCTGAGGCAGAATCAATCTAAGTTATGCAGTTTTCTGTCAGTGGCGTAGTTTAGATTGGTTGTGAACAAAACACACATTCACCCTTTGGTGGAGGTGGGGATTGGAGAGCAAATCTTAGACCAGGTTCTGCCATTTATAAGCCAGTTTTGTGCGCCAAACTTCTGTTCTGTTATGGGGATAGACTGGTTTCCGATCCCTTACACTGGTAAAAGTGTAGTGTCGGTACTTGGGATACCCCTGAAGGGGTATGTGATAACAGTTCTCAAATACATGAAGGGTGGCTATACAGAGGATGGTTACTGACTGTTCCCAGTGACTGCAGGGGACAGGACAAGAACAATGGTCTTAAATTGCAGCAAGGGACTTTTAGGTTGGCTATTAGAAAGAACTTTGTCATAGTGATGGTGGTTAAGGATTGCAATAAATTATTTTAGAGAAGTGGTATAATCTCCATCTTTGGGTATTTTTAAGAGCAGGTTAGGCAAACACTTATCTAGAATAGATACAGATAATTCTGCCTTGAGTGGGAGGTGGACTAGATGGCTTCCTAAGGTCCCTTCCAGCCTTGCTTGTTCTATAATTCTGTGGATGGGAAAGCCCCAAAAATAAGTGAAAAGGGGGAGGAATCAGGACAGAGGAATAAAAGAAAGGTAGTGTCATATTTCCATTAAAATATTTCCTTCCCAGAGCCACACCAGGACTTAAGATTTAAATCCTCCATCTATAGTGACCTCTGCCTTATCTCCTTTGACTGTTATGAAGGGAATCCTGAACCTGACAGAATCAGTGGCAAAAATCTCATTGATTTCATCTAGGCCAGGATTTTACCCAATGAGGACCAATGCTGGGCAAAATCAGCTTACATTTTAAACCCATTATGAGGTGTTTTGAGCACCTCATAATGCTGCCATTCATGGAGACATGGGATATTTGAAACTCACAGCTGGCATGGAAGGAGTAGAGGAAAAAGGACAAAACACACATTATAAAAAAGATGCTAACTTCCATGTTCTGTCCTGTCATTGCGGCTCATTTGTAAATTGAGCACAGAAAACTTTAGCCATTTAGCAAAGTTTCTGAAACACTAAGGAACAGGGAAGGCTGTCTTGGTTATTGTGGCACTTCCCTTTTGTACTTCATTTCCCCTAGGACTTGAAGTTATTTCCTTGTGCACTGTGTTCAGTCAGCCCATCTAGATGCCTGTTACCTTGACAGCCCTTTTTAATCTTTTATTTCCAGGAATTAAAAGGCATCAAAAGCTGTTTTCTCTCTAGAAAACAACTGTCACCCGAATGAACACACAAACTAGACTGGTGGTGAATGGTAATGACTCACCCGTCTCTGCAAATGCATAAAGAACAGCCTCTTTGATTCATTCCCTTTCGCTATACTGCCTCTCCCTGAATGACAGGCTCACCTACCACCACACTAGCTTGTGAAGCTGCTGGAGGAAATCTGTCTTGAAAGGAAAAGGAGACCACTTTATTTAAAACTGAACAGTTTAACCTGCAAAAATGATCTATATTCTGGTGGCCAGAGTTGGTTTTCCCTTCTCTCTGCTCTCTCTCTGATTTGTGCTTGGAGGTTGGTATTTCTCTAAGTGTTCAACCTCCTGATCTCAAGCCTCCAAGAAGCTGACCCCCCTACTTTGACACCACCTCCTTTTTTTCTCTTCCCCTCCTGCCCATTACGCAAGAAGGGCTTAATCTCTCTCTCAGTGAAATAAATAGTGCTACTTTTCTTTCCAACTGTTGGTTAAGTCAGCCACTCCAAACAGAATCGAATGCAGTTTCTGCAAGGCTCTTGTTCTTTTTATATAACCACATCTGATGATTGTTATCACAAAATGTTACCGCCCATCCTCTAAGAGCATGTAAACAAAAACTGGAGGGCAGCAAGGTAGCAAAAACAAGGGTGGAGAGTGTGGACGGGGCAAGAAACAAGTACTCTGAGCCAGCTTTCAAAATAGCTTATGTGAAGCAATATTAGACTTTATATGAAATGTTTTCCTTTGTTGTTTCCTCTGCAGCCTATGGAAGAAGATGTCTATCTTGTTGACCTCTGTGAGATTTTATACTAATGCCACAGGAGGAACTAGGTAGTCATATCACACTGTAATTAAGATCTCCCTTGGGGCCACTATATTGAGATACTTCCCCTCTATGCAGCATTGGTAAGGCCACAGCTGGAGTACTGTATCCAGTTTTGGGCACCGCACTTCAAGTAGGATGCAGATAACCTTGAGAGGGTCTAGAGGAGGGCTGCTCGTATGGTTAGAGGGCTGCAGATAAGGCCCTACGAGGAGAGATTAAGGGACCTGGATCTCTTCAGCTGCCGCAAGAGAAGGCTGAGAGGTGCTCTTGTGGCCATCTACAAATTCATCGGGGTGGGGGAGCAAGGAATAGGAGATGATCTGTTCACCAGGGCGCCCCTTGGAATAACCAGGAACAATGGCCACAAACTGATAAAGAGCAGATTTAGATTGGATATCAGGAAGAACTTCTCCACAGTAAGGGTTACCAGAATCTGGAATGGGCTTCCAAGGGAGGTGGTGCTCTCCCCTACCTTGGGGGTCTTCAAGAGGAGACTGGACAAGCATCTGGCTGGGGTCATCTGACCCCAGTGCTCTTTCCTGCCCAGGGCAGGGGGTCGGACTTGATGATCTACTGAGGTCCCTTCCTGAGGTTGTTGATAACTCAGGGGACCCCATCTCATCACAAAATCATGTTTAGTGTCATACTAGGTAACTTATTTTCTAACATGATGCATTTTTACAGCATAGACAAGGTCAGGTGCTTTCAGCATAATCATTCAGGCTCTCAGGAGGCA